CAACCACCTTTCCATTCTAAAACCCTGGTTTATCTCACTATAACCTTGTCTTTGGAAACTTGGTTCAATTTGAAAATTGTAAGATTTATTCTGAGGACAAAGGAGAGTTACAAAGGTTCTATACTTTACAAACTTGTTTTTGTTACAGAATAATGTTTTGAGTTAAAAAATTAGTCTGATCTGAAATTATTACTTTGTCTTGCATTTTGTCTTCCTCTGCAGCACTACCCATGCATACTTGCTGTATTGTTAAATCTCCTTTTACTTGTTTGCCCAACCACATTTGGAAAAAAAGAGATGGGGATTAAGAAAAGCTAATGACTATTTGTGTTTATTTATTCATTTGTAATGTGGTAGTAGCTAGACGCTCCATGGCAGAGAGCCTGGAACCTCTGGCATGGTGGGGTTGTCCCAGAGCCATGAACCCTGGAAGGGTAGGGACCCCGGCCGCAGAGTACTCTGCAGCGGGGGGAGTCAGAGCACCTGGGGCTTCAACACCCTTCTGGAAAGCTTCTGTCAATTTTACTTTGCAGAAAGTGAAATTAACAAAAGCCTTCCAGGCAGGCAGCTGTTACTTTGATTTTCCTGATGAAAAATCAACATTTTTCAGCAAAACTGAAAATTTTTCACAGAAGATTTTAATTCTGTGAAAAAGACATTTTTGTCAGAAAATCATTCAGATGGAAATTTTTTCAACTAGTTCTATTACTGGTACACCACTTCAGAAATTTCTCTGTAGAAACTCTACAGCTCCCTAAGCTTAATGCCATCTGCCAAAAAACATGAGCTCTGCGTATTAATGGTAACTCAGTAGTAAACTTGGGTTAACGCATGTAAGCACAAGTATCAATTTACAGGTAACAAAAAAATTATCTTACTGGGATAACCTGAAAAGAATATAAATATATTGAAAAAGGATATGTTGATTTATTTAAGAGTTAAGTTATTTTAGGAAATCATGCTGGCTGTTATGTTGTTACTTGGCTTCATAATAGTACAGAAACTAGAGAGCCTATATAATGCTATGCCAGAGTTGATAGTTTGAAATGTAAGCATGTTGCCACCAAGTTTCTTACAAAATAATTACTTCAATGTTCGCCTTCCATTATTCTTCTCTGCCTGAATTGCAACAGGCACAAACCTGGAAAGTATTTTTTTTTCTTGATCTGTTTTGTAAAACCTGAGTTTGCAGTAATGTTTTAATGCTACTCTTTGCTTGGATGCTATTGCATTAAGATAGAGAATTCATATATTTAAGGTATTATGTATAATAGACAATACACTAAATACTTCACTTTTCACTAAAGTCAATGTGTGGTCTCCCCTAGCAGCAGCAGAATAAATACCTGAAGGCTCTCCTTTTAAGAAATGGTACTATTGTATTTTTAATTATTTTGCACATTAACAATAAAGGCAAAAGAGAATGGTAGGGTTATTTTAAATCTTTGGAAACGCTGGGCAATAGGAAACTTCTATTTCTTTCTATTGAAAGGTTGTCAGTCTGTTTGTCTAGATTGTGGATCTCACAAGGATATATTAGAAGTGCTATTGTAACCCATGCCTGCTGGGTGTGGTGTTCTGTCCCTCTCTGGTGGCACCTAGACCACTTAGAGATTAATGAGTCTGCTACAGCCTTAGCTAAACATGGAGTATAGGCTCATGCACTAAGCTTCAGAGGTCCCAGATTCAATCCCACCTGCCGATGACTGGGGTCTGTCAGCATTACACTATGTTAAGGAGTTTTAAAACAAAAATTAAGTAATTATCTAAACAAGGTTAAAATTGTCTGAAAACTGTTAAAATGTAAAAATAAAATGTTAAAACTGAAACAGTAACAAAACGTTACTTGTATAAAAGACCAAGAAATGTAAGGCTTTGGCTTTACAAATCAGAAGATAACTAGATAACTTTCTCAAGTATTGCAAATTCTGCAAGATATTTCAAGTTTGGCAAACTGGGAAGAACAATTTAAACTACTTTTACACATTTGATAGGTTCCAAATTTAGTTGTGAACTTTCAGGGGAAAAAAGACTTATTTGTATATTGAGGCTGATTCAAAGGTGACATTGTCTCCCACGTATAGCAGTGCTCAAAATTAATCTGATTTTAGACTGTATAAGAGAATGATACCGGAAATGTCATTATTAAAAGTTCAGTGCATCCTTGCGTATTTTGCACTGCTTTCAGCTTTGGTCTCTTCATCTTAAAGTAAGAGCAGAAATAGAAAGTTTGGAGAAGAGTGATGTGAGAAATTAGTCATGAAGGGGCTTCCATACTTGCAAAGAGTACTGATACTGGTTTTTTTTGTTTTGTTTTTGGTTTTTTTGAAGAGAGGCTGTCGCTAGGATACATCATACTTGTATACTGACTAATGAGTTAGGTTTCTATCACGCGAATACTTACACAACATGTGAGTAGTACTGTTAGTGGGACTGCTTGCATGTGTAAGTGTTTGCAGGATGGAGGCCATTAAAGACCCTCTACACCAGTGGCGGGCCACACGCGGCCCGTCAGGGTAATCCGCTGGTGGGCAGCCAGACAGTTTGTTTACATTTGCACAGCCGCCTGCAGCTCCCATTGGCCGGAAACAGTGAACCGCAGCCACTGGGAGCTGCGGGCGGCCATGCAAATGAAAACAAACTGTCTGGCGGCCCGCCTGCGGGTTGCCCTGATGGGCCGCCGGTTGCCATCACTGTTCTAGACATTCCATTGTACCTTTAACAAGGTCATCTGGTCAAAATAAAAGGCAAATTTTAATAATAAATGATTTTAATAAGTAATCATTTGCAATTACATTTCACCTTAATTAAGCTTTAGAACACCTTTGTGTCATAGGGAACTATTACATCCAGTCTCAGGTCTCTGTGTCTAGCCATTTGACAACACTCCCCAAGGTATTGAGTTTAGCTGTCATTTGAGGCTGGACAAATGGGAGGGACACAAGGGAGTTAGGCAGCCAGCTCCCATTGAATATTAGTGGGAACTGGGAGCCTTAAACCTTTAGGCACCTTTGAAAATTGTATCTTAAATGTAGTGTGAAAGTGCCTGCATCAACAAGGCCATTACACAACTTTCTAAGACAAATTGTTTTTAAAGTACATAGATCTGTGCTTTTCATTATGTACATTTGCATAGTTGAAAATGGTTTCTTCTAAGGCTTTCTTTTTGTTTTGATAGTTTCGCTCTGAAATTTACTTCTTTGGCAGAAAGGCTTTTCTTTATTTTCAGGGTGGGAGTGAGGAAAGAAAGAATAAGCAGCTGGGAAAGAAGTCATTCACAATGCAACATTATTTAAATCATCTGATTGTGTATTAAAAAAACCCTTAGGTTACTATGATCTGAAAATGTTTCACTGAGCTGTCCTAAAAGTTTTTCAAAATATAGGATGCGAAAAGAGGAAGCAACCTCTTTGTTTGGCACTTGTGCTAATGAACCAAGACACAAGTAGCAGTACAGAAGTAATTTCTCAGAGAATAAATACACTTATGAAAACCTATTAATATTTGAGGAGATTAATCTTTTTTCCCTCAATGGGGTATGTAGCTACTAAGGATTCCTTCTCACCAAAGTAACCTAGTCCTAGGATTGTTGTCAAAAGTAAGTGATTATTGGATTTGACTTAAAATGTATATGCCTGTTGCATAAAATTATAGCCATGTTTAAATCTGTCCTTCAGTATCTGTCAAATTTCTTTCCTTTTTAAGTATTTTCATATCTTCAATGTTTTAGTTAATCAGTTTGAACATGTGTGTAGCTCTATCTTATTGAAAAATGTTTTTATGCACTTGAATTCTTTCAATACATGGCATTTAAAAGTACATCATCTACTGCACAGTTAAACAATGGAGCAAAAATACATTTTGAGGTGTGGCCATTCAGGTGAAAAAATGCATTTTCAAAAGAGAAGCTAAAATTCATTGCAGATGAAGGATTTTTTTTATATATTTTTAAAAAATATTGAAAAGCACTGCAATGAATTGCCCTTAATTTCTTGTAGGTAAAATTGTGATACTGTGCGGTACTTTTTGGTATACTCCTTTGGGCACAAGGAGTTATCCTGAAAAACAAAACGTCATATAATTTCTCAAATGAGGTATCTGCCTCCACTGTCCACAGGACTGAGTATAAATTCTTGAACCTGAACTTTTTCATCTCCTTTGTTTGCTAATATGCCTTCCACCTCCTCTGCAACATTGCTGCATCACTTCCACCTCTGCTGAAACTTTCACCCTTGTCTTCAACTCCTTTCAGCCTGGTCTCCACAAGTCTTATCCTACCTGCACCAGCATGTGTTAAATGCTTCCGCCCACTTTCTCACACATACAGGTAGTTTGATTTATATTGTGCCCAATCATTAAACACTTCATTTGCTCACTAATTATTGCAGGTTCTACTCCAAAATTGTCCTGATTGTTTGTTTTTAAAACCATCCGTAAACTTTATCCTCTTCCTTGCTCCTTTCTCTTGTCTAGCTTTGTCAAGTTCTCTGACCCTTCACACAGTCCCACCACGGTTAGTATAAAAGTAACTGTCTGTTCAACTGCCTACCATCTGCAGCAGTTTTCTTATGCCTTAGTGATGCTCTGCTTATTTTTATCTCATCTAAAAATATCTTCTTTTTCTACCTCTTAAGTTTTCTTTCACTCTGATATTAACTCTTTAAAGCGTTTTGGGCTATAGTTTGAGAGGCCATACAAAATAAAATTTCATTTATGTAATTATTATTCTTTACATTTTTTTATATTATGGAAGCACCTGAAATGTGCTGTGTTTCAATCCCTGTCCTAAAAAGCTTACATTTTAAAATGACCAAAGAAAAATACAAGAGAAGGGAAAGTATACACACAAAGAAAATGGTCAAGATGGTAATAAGAACATGTGTTAGTTTTAATATTTTTGTCATGGTTCGTATATAAATCAAAACAGTCTTAATTGCCCGCTACCTACAATGTATACTGCCAGTATTTTATAGTTGTTTGCTTTTTCATTATTTTTCTAGATGTCCCAAAGCATGTCTTCAGTGTCTTCAAGACATTCTGAAAAAATAGCTATCAGAGAGTAAGTATATTTTTATTCTCACATTTTGTTGTTGATATGGCTCAGTAAATTTTATGTTTTCAGTAACAAATGTACAGGTAAAGTATGTGGAAGTAATGTGTAGTAATTCTTTTCAGCATCTAACCTCAAATTCATGTTTGAGACTACAGTGAATTTCCTTAGTAATAAATCTTTATTAAATTTATGATTCTTTATATTCTATTACAATCAAGCTTTCAATACATGGTCCATGAGGCTACAATGTATTTTTAAATTATTTATATAACTTCATCACCATAATTTGGATTCATTCTCATTTCATGGCTTTTCTATAATGATAAATCTAGTTGGGGATTTCAGCTATGATTTTATGTCCAAGAAATAATTACTCTATTCAGAATAACTCTGCAGTGCTAAAAATATGACCATATGAATTCCCAAGATTACTTCTGAAGATGTCTTTTTTCAAAGAGATGTGTATCATGGTAACTGGCTAGGCACTATTAAAAATTGCTGGGGGCAAATCCAGGACCCAAAGATGTCAGTGGGCTTTTTGCTATTAACTTCAGATTTCACTGTTGGTGTTTACAGCAAGGTCATCCTTTTCTTTAAGAAGCAACAGAGAGTCCTGTGGCACCTTTAAGACTAACAGATGTATTGGAGCTTTCGTGGGTGAATACCCACTTCATCAGACGCACTTTGTCACCCACGAAAGCTTATGCTCCAATACATCTGTCAGTCTTAAAGGTGCCACAGGAGACTCTGGTGCATTTTACAGATCCAGACTAACACGGCTACCCCTCTGATACTTTACTTTAAGGTATCTTATTTTATGTGTTAGTATCCACTTCTGATCGTCTGAGTTCGTATTGTTACTTATAATAATGTGAGGTAGAAAGGGGTGTTTCAAGTTGAGTGCCAAGTAATTTTATCATGATTAAGAACAAGCAAGATAATTGCAATTAACTATTATTTATTTCTTTATTTATTTATTAAGCAAAGGAAGGTCTGAGAGATGTTGGATCTGAACTGGAAGGTTGTTTCTTGATGTAGCTCTGTGGCTGTCTTAGAGACATTGAGCAGAGATGAGAGGCTGCATTGAGAGTGTTGTATGGAGTTAAAAGATGGGAGTGCTGCTAGTTTGCTTCCTCAGTTCAGAGAAGCTTTATCCCGCTCTTTCCTCTGATCCTTGGAAGGAGGAAAACACCTCTTTTAGGCTTGGCTGGATTCAGATCTGCTGTTGTCCTTTCACTGGCTCATGGGCTGGTCTTAGTAATATCTTCAGTTCATGACATGTAGTCTGTTAATTCATATGCAGTGTACATTTAATTGTCTTTGTTCCCGTAGCAGGAAATTTTCAGGATCTTTAGCGTTTTAACTATTTTTTTTATTCAGTCCATTTTCTTAAATATCGCTTGAGTTCCATCAGAGCTTAATAGGAGTTGAAATTTGGTTTCAGATGGGCCTATACATCCTTACGTCAGAGATAAAAGTTTTCCAGTTCTTAAAATAGCTTTTTAAGCTTAATTGTTAAAGAGGGTCTTCAAATTAAATAGCCATCCAAAAAGGCATTGGCTGCTCTTCTTAACAGTCCATGCAAAGTCCTTTTCTTTTTGAGTTTGGAAAGGAAATTGCTTAACTAAATAACTTAATTCCCCAATTAATATAAATATTCTGTATTCATTGCTGTGCAGTTATAGCAATGTCATTGAGTTCCATAGTGGTACATAAAACATCTTGCCTTTAACATAACAATGACATTAGGAAGTTTTTACATTAGAAGATGCTTGCATTTGGATGTAAAACATTTGCAAATGCACATCTCAGAAGAGGTCCATACTGTCTTTTAGCATCTAAGGAAAAGCATTACATAAAGTTTTCACTTTTAAGCAGGAACTTGAATTTAAAAGTGCCTGGTATTAAATGAGTATATTGATATAACAGGCGTCACAGAAACTTGATAGGACTATGCTAATCAAAGGGACACAGTAATACCAGGGTACGAAATACATAGGAATGATAGAGTAGGTCATGCTGATGGAGGAATGGCATTATATGTGAAACAAAACATAGAGTCAAATATAGTGAAAATCTTAAATGACTCACACAGTACCATTGAATCTCTATGGATAGAAATCCCATGTTTCAAGAATAAAAGCATAGCTATAGGAATATACTAGTGACCACCTGACTAGGATTATGCTGCTGATTGTGAAATGCTCAAGGAGATTAGAAAGACTATAAAAATAAAAAACCCAATAATAATAGGTGATAGCATCTACCTCCAGATTCATTGGGTACATGTCATGTCAGGACCAAATGCAGAGATAAAATTTCTAGACACCATTAATGACTTCTTCTTGAAAAAACTTGTCCTGGATCCCACAAAGGGGGAGGCAATTCTTTATTTAATCCTAAGGTGTGCTTAGTATTTGGTCCAAGAGGTGAATATAACTGAACCACTTGCTAATAGCAACCGTAATGTAATAAAATTTAACATTCTCGTAGGGGGAAAGATATCAGAAAAACCTACCACAGTAGCATTTAAATTTCAAAAAGGGGAACTACACAAAAATTAGTAGATTAGTTTAAATATAAATTAAAAGCAAGATGCCTGGAAACTTTTGAAAAACACCACAATAGAGGCTCAAAATATTAGTTGTGCTATACGCACAAAAGGAGGGAATGTGGAAGCAGAATTAAAGCAGGGTACACGTTTTAGTCAGGTTTAAGGATAGAGTGAAATGTAACTCTAACAACGTGAGAATTGTAAGAGATGCTGCTTCACGCCTTGCTTTTCTGCTCGCTTTAGTTGATAAGAAGGGAATGCTGATTTAAGCAGAAACCTTGAGATAAGGTAGTGTCTGGAGGGAGTTTGTATAAACAAAGGATAACCATTAGCCATTGGTACATGTAACGGGAAGGTATAAATACTTGTCTTATGCTGCTTGTAGGGGGAAGGTCTGCCTAAGGCCATCCCTATCCGATCTCCGTCTTCCCTTGCAATTGCTCGTAATAAAACTGTCTCTGACTTTTTGCTAACAAACGTAGCATGAGGACTTGGTTTCTTCCACAGTCCCAATTTAAAAAAAAAACAATGAAAGGACAAGGGTGATCCAGTGGGTATAGTGTACTTGGACTTGCAGAAAGCTTTGACAAGGTCCTTCACCAAAAGCTCTTAAGAAAAAAGGAGTCATGAGATAGGAGGGAAGGTCCTCTCATGGATCAGTATCTCATTAAAAGATAGATAACAAAGAATGGGAATAAGTGGTCAGTTTTCACAGTGGAAAGAAGTAAATATTGGGGACCCCCAAGGATCTGTACTGGGACTAGTGCTGCTCAACATATACGTAAATCATCTGGAAATGGGAGTAAACAGTGAGGTGGCAAAGTTTGCAGATGATACAAAATTGCAAGATACAAGATAGTTAAGTCCAAAGCAGACTGCAAAGATGACTGGGCAACGAAAAGGCAGATGAAATTCAGTGTTGATAAATGCAAAGTAATGCACATTGGAAAACTACACATACAAAACAATGAGATTTAAATTAGCTGTTACCACTCAGAGATATTTTCCCCCACACACACACCTTCCCATGTATTGGTGTGACCCAAGGACCTCTTGATGCCAACTGGCAGAGGGTACGAGGCTACATAGGGGTACAAGTGTCCCCTCGGTTCGCCAAAAGAATGTCATGTAAGGTTTCTAATCAACACTTGTGTTACACTAGTCATCATAATCATTGTATGGAAAATATGTGAGGAATTATGTGTATATGCTGAAAATTATGTTCTCTAAATCTTGTAGTTAAAGGCAGGTCACTCATATGTAGTGCTCTTTGAGTCGAATTCTCCAGACAAGAGGTAGGAGATACTTATCTCCCTGGTGAACCATTGTATACTGTGTGACCTACAGCCAAAGTTTATTAACATACTGAGGCCTGATCAATACTAGGAAATTAGGTTGGTATTGCTACATCACACAATCCACGCCTCTGGGCAACGTAATTAAACTGACCCCCATTGTAGAATTCTCCCATTGGCCTAGCTACCGTTTCTCAGGGAGGTGGAATACCTATACTGACAGGAGAACCTCTCCCATCAGTTTAGGTAGTGTCTTCAGTAAAGCGCTACAGTGCCACAGCTTAATTTTAGGTGTGAACAAGCACTGAATCAGCTGCTAATGAAGAGCTTTTGGAGACTTCAGAAGTAATTCACAGAAAGAGGTAAACAGCTGGAAGGTGGAACACCCTGTTTTCAGGTGAATATCAAAGGTCTGCTCTGGTATATGTGAAGGGGGATATCAGTCATCCTGGTTGAAAAAACTGGGAAAAGGGCTTGAGATAAACTATCCTGTAGGTCTTGTGAGTTAAGTTTAAGCTCTAGAAAGCGTGTTACGATTTTGTTTTATATGTAATCATTTTTCCAATGTTTTCTTACTATCATTTGAAAATAAGCTTATTCTTGCCTTCACCATAATATATCTATATGCTGTGTGTTAAGCAGAGTAGTGATCCTGAGTTGAATCGAGTACGCTGGTTTGTGCTATTACTTTGGAGTAGAGGATGACCTGAGTTCAGTGCATGGTCAGTGGAACATGGGCTGATCTCTCCAGAGGGATGGTCAAAGGTTGGTTTGTGCCTATTGCTAACCTATATAGAAAGAATGAGGCCTGTGGAGGCCTGGAAAGGAGTGCTTGGGTTGCCAGAGACTGGTGGAGTTAAGGAGCTGATCCATGGCAGGCACAGACAAGATTCCCTCATGCTTATAGCAGGTGGTGGCAAGGTGCCTCACAACCCTGGGTAGCCCCTGGCAAGCATCACGGCTCCTTATGTGTAACTTCTTGCAGAAAAATTTGTTTGAAGCACATTGTTCGGAGAAAAAAGAGGCACCAAAAGATTTTTTTTTTTTTTAAACTGTGAGGAATTGAGACTGTCCTCATAGGAAACCTAATACTCAATTAACTGGCATTACAAAATGTACAGATATGTATAAATTCTAAAATGTGTTTCACATAGTGATAAATAGGTCTGTGTAATGCTTTAAAAAAGTGCTTTAGTAATCAGTGTAAATATTCAATACTATATTTTTATATTTTGCTGTTAAGTATTCTTATTTTATCCAGTTTTCAGGTTGGCGATTTGGTTCTCATTATCTTGGACGAACGCCATGACAACTATGTATTATTTACTGTCAGTCCAACATTGTATTTCTTACATTCAGAGTCTCTTGCTGCGCTGGATCTGAAGCCAGGTGAGTGTGGTAAGTGTCAGATAACTCTGTGGCATAATGTTCTGAGGCACTTAACATGATCTTATACCCTTATTTTTCTAACAGCTGTTTAATAATTACGTAAATAGTTGAATGTTTTAGCTATAGACATAATGTATATGTGTAGCAAAAGTTGTAGTTAATCTGCCATTGAGATTTTCGTTATAGCCTCATTCAGTAATTTTCTGAAAGATTTTTTTTTAGGCAGAACTTTTCCATATTACATATTGTCCCAGAACTGAATACTTTGGACAGCTAGAGCAAAATGCATTCATCCTTTTTTGATTTATGCTGTAAAACAAATTTAAGACTATATTTCTGCATACATACATACATGCACATTTGATACGTGTACCATAAGAAATTACCATTAGGCTTAGTCGTGTTACTATTTATGGTACTAAAATAACTACAAAATATTGATGATGGCTGTGTAGGTCTGTTTTTGTGCTGCTGTTTACAAAATTCAGGTCTTAGTCCATTGCAGAGGCTTGAACATCCACCTGTGCTATAGAAGGAATTGACTTTAAAAAAAAAAAAACCTCAGTTTTATTTAAAGGTATTTTCCCTTCAGGCAAGGAAATCCCCTGCAGCATGGGTGGAATTTTATGGATCTGTATGTTCAGTGTGAGAGAATTCAGAGAGAACCATAACTTTTTGTTTCCTGATTTTTAAATGCCTACATTTGCTGCTGTTTCTCAGCCCTACATAAATGAAGTTCAGCAGTGCTCAAATTCTTTCAGGAAAATGTGCGCTTTAGATCAAGGGTTCCCAAACTTTTTGCCAGCATGACCCCATTTTAGTGAATTATTTCCTTGTGGGCCCCAGACAGCATGGAAGCCACCATTTTGAAGAGCACAGCATGCCTTGAACATATGGTACATGAGGTTACACTGTGCGGAGAATGCCATTTTGTAGAGCAAAATGGTGTTCTCCATATATTATGACCTCACACACACCGTACATGTGAAGTCATACTGTGAAGAGCAAAATGACATCTTCTGCACCATGGGAATCTCCTCAAACCCATCTGCTGATGGTGGGACCCCATTTGGGGATGCAGTCCACAGTCAGGGAACTGCTGCTTTAGATATTGTTAATCCTTTGTACTCAAGTTTAGCGAAGCAGGGTTTTTCTGCGTTTCAAGGTTTTTGTGGGGTACTTAGTTCAGTTCTCCCTCAAGTAAGCTTAAGAAACTGCAGCTTCCTTTGTTTGCTATTTATGTTTATTCACTTCAGTGTTCCTAGTGTTTTGTTTGCTATTATGATATGGAGTGCATGAAATAAGTATTTAAAAGTAAACTTAAAGTAGCTAGTTCATTGAAAATCTTCTCTGCAACACAAAGGCCATGGCCTCTCAAAATCTGTTCCCTGTGCCCCCAGTTTTGGATGAAATGAACATTATTGAGGGCATGTATCAAAAGATAGTTTTATATTCCTCTCCTAATCTGTTCATGAAGGCTTCCACAGGTATCAGAAGGAAAACTGCCACCATAGAACATTTTCTCCATTAGCAAACCATGGCATAGAGTTATGATGAATAACACTAGTAACTTTTTGTTCTTCTTCGAGTGCTTGCTCATATCGATTCTAATTAGGTGTATGCGCGCCGCGTGCACGATCATCGGAAGATTTTTACCCTAGCAACACTCAGTGGGTCGGCTGAGGCGCCCCTTGGAGTGGCGCGCTTATGGCGCCGGATATATGCCCCTGCCGACCCAGAGCCCCCTCAGTTCCTTCTTACCGCCCGTGACGGTCGTTGGAACTGTGGAGCGCAGCTAGCTGTTCTCCACCCTCCCTAGCATTTGTTGTTTGTACATGTTAAGAGTTCTCTTTAGTGATAAGTAGTTGTTAATAGTTGTTTACAGTTGTAGTAGTTAGATTAGATTAGTTTCTTTCTGAGAGGGAGTGGGGTCTTCTCCTCCCCTTCCCCCCCCCTTCCCCCCCAGCTCGTCGGCTCACCAACCGCCGGTGCCTCCCGCACTGCAGCCAGAGCTGCGTCCGTTACTGGAGCGCGTGGGACAACTAGCGGCCCTGGCGCTGTCGACTCCGGCACCGCAAGGGCCGTTGAGTCCGGTGCCTGTTAGCTCCCCAGGGTGCACCGTGGTTGAGCTGGGACTACCTTCTACACCGGAGACCTTCTCAACAGCGCGGGACTTGATCGCGCTCATGGAGCCGGTTCTTCTGCAGCCCCCGGCACCGCCGGTGCGGACGCTCTGATGAAAAGGGAAGCTGTCCCTGATGCAACCGCCATTGCCCAGCAAAGCAGGATGGCACCGGTCCCAGTCCCGATCGTGGTCCCGGCACTGATATCGTTCTCGGCGCCGGTCGCACTCGCGCCACTGCTCCGGCTCCCGGAGGTCTGAATCGCGGTATGGCCAGTACCGATTGGACTCTCAGCACCGCTCCTAGTACCGGTCCCAGAGCCGGTCTAGCAGCCGATCTCATCGGAGGTCTCCATCGAGATCTAGATCAGGCTCATGGTACCACTATGACCGCAGGCACCGTTCACCGTCTCAGTACCTCTCCGCATCACACCACCGGTCCCCGGCAGAGAGGGACTCGGCACCATCCCATACCGCACCGACTTGGCCGTCCTGCTCCACTTCTGCATCATCACGCTCTCAAGGTGGCTTCCATGCCCAAGACTGGGGCGAGGGTGATGCAGGCCAGTGGCTGGAAGAAGGCCAGGACCTGGGCCAGGAACCCCCACAGTGGTCCTTTGAGACCTCTTGGGCATACCATCAAGCCCAAGAGGTCCCTTCGAGGGCCTCTCGTTCCGCCCCTTCGGAGCCACGAGTACCGGAAGCCACGGTATCTCTCTCCCCCTCCCCCGGGGGTTGCTGAGGCAACTGTTCCAGTGCCATTGGGGGCCCACCCGGCTAACGTGACGGACCTTGAACAGCAAGACCCTCCACAGGATCCTTTAGCCCCGGGGGTAACTTCCTCGTCCTCACCGGATGAGGCGGTGGCAGACATTACAGTTACGGTCCTCCCCCTATGAACCTCCACGCCCACTAGGAACTGCTCTGCAGAGTGGCGCGCAGTATGAACCTCCAAGTGGAGGAAGTGGTGGAGGTAGAGGACACTGTGCTGGACATTCTGTCAGCGGAGACACCGTCCCTAGTGGCCCTCCCCGTCATACGGACTATACAGGCCACTGCCAAGACAATCTGGCAGTCACCGTCGTCTATTCCACTGACGGCCAAAGGCTTGGAAAGGAAGTACTTTGTTCCCTCTCAGGAATGCGGGTTCCTTTACACACACCATGCTCCCGTGTCGTGGCTTCGGTCAACGAGAAGGAACGCCATGGCCAGCAGGCTCCCGCGCCTAAGTCAAAGGATGCTAGGTGCCTAGACTTATTTGGACGCAAGGTGTATTCGGCGGGAGGCTTACAGCTCAGGGTGGCCAACCAACAGGCATTCCTGAGCAGTTATGACTATAATTCATGGGTATCTATGTCCAAATTCAGAGAGTTGGTCCCACAGGAGTCCAGAGAAGAGTTTGGCGCTCTAGTAGAGGAGGGCAAGAAGGTGGCAAGAACCTTCTTACAAGCCTCTCTGGACGCGACAGACTTGGCAGCTAGAACCCTGGCCTCGGGCATAGCCATGCGCCGCATCTCATGGCTGCAAGTCTCTGGATTACCACCAGAGTTGCAACAGACTCTCCAGGACTTACCCTTTGAGGGCCAGGGTCTGTTCTCTGAAAAGACAGACTCAAGGCTGCAAAGTCTGAATGACAACGGGGCCATCATGCATTCACTGGGCATGCATACGCCAGTAACGCAGAGAAGGCCCTTCAGGCCGCAGCCCCAGAGATTCTACCCTCCCCCTTGGCCAAGGCAGGACTTCTCGTGAAGACGTGGCCGGGGTGGTAGGAGGAGACAATCTGGCCCTCAGACGGGTCAGAATCAGGGCCCCCCCAAATCATTGGCGGGGCCCAAGCAAAACATTTTTGAAGGTGCACCCGAGGGTGGAGCACCTTTCCGGATCCTTTTCCACCCTTCACCAACCAGCTCTCCTATTTCCTCCCTGCATGATCCCACATAACATCGGACCGCTGGGTCCTACGCATGGTAGAAAGTGGATACTGACTCCAATTTGTTTTGTTCCCCCCTTCCCACCCTCCCTCCCCGTCCCTCTTCAGGGACCCCCTCACAAGCAACTCCTTCTGCAGGAGGTGCAGTCGCTCCTGGCCATTGGGGCGATAGAAGAGGTTCCAAGAGAACTGTGTGGTAGGGGGTTTTACTCCTGTTACTTCCTAATCCCCAAGTCAAAAGGGGGGCTACAGCCCATTCTGGACCTGCGCGGACTCAACAAATTCATGGTAAAGTTGAAGTTCCACATGGTTTCCCTGGGGACCATTATTCCTTCCCTGGATCCTGGAGACTGTTACACTGCCCTCAACATGAAGGACGCGTACTTCCACATAGCGATTTACCCGCCCAACGGGCATTTCCTCCACTTTGTGGTCAACCAACAGCACTTCCAATTCACCGTCCTCCCTTTCGGCCTCTCCACGGCCCCCAGGGTGTTTACAAAGTGCATGGCTGTTGTAGCTGCTTCCCTTCATCGACAACGGATCCAAGTGTTCCCATATCTCGATGACTGGCTCTTTCGAGGTTACTCCAGAGATCAGGTGCAGTCTCATGTTCAGACCACCATGGACATGTTCAATCGACTAAGCCTACTGCTCAACGTCGCGAAATCTACTCTGGTACCAACCCAGAGGATAGAATTCATAGGAGCAGTCTTAGACTCTGGCCTAGCCCGGGCACTTCTGCCGGACGTGCGCTTCCAGTACATAGCGAACATTGTCCGCGGTCTGCAAACCTTCCTGACCTCAACCGTGAAAACATGCCTATGCCTCCTGGGACACATGACATCTTGCACTTATGTGACCAGGCACGCCAGGCTACGACTACGCCTGCTGCGAGCCTGGCAATCAACAGTTTACCAACCAAGTCGGGATAGCTTGCACACGATAGTTACCATTCCGCCAGGAATATTAGCCTCTCTAGACTGGTGGCTGGACCCTAAGGTAGTGTGCACAGGGGTGCCATTCAATGCCCCACAGCCCTCCGTGTCCCTGGTCACGGACACGTCATCCCTGGGATGGGGGGCCCATCTTGGGAATCTCTGCACACCGGGACTATGGTCGGCAGCAGAGTTATCCCTACACATCAACGTATGAGAGCTCAGAGCAGTGCGCCTAGCATGTCAAGCATTCCGACTGCGCATTCAAGGCAGTTGTGTAGCAGTCCTCACAGACAACACAATGGCCATGTTTTATATCAACAAGCAACGGGGAGCCCGGTCATCCCCCCTCTGTCAGGAGGCCACTCGTCTGTGGGAATTCTGCATAGCCCACTCGATCCAGCTGGTGGCGTCGTTTCTCCCGGGAGTCCAGAACACCTTAGCGGACCGCCTCAGCAGATCATTCCTGGCTCATGAGTGGTCGGTTCACCCGGATGTCATCCATTCTGTCTTCCGGAGGTGGGGCTTTCCCCTAATAGACCTATTCGCCTCTCGCGACAATCGGAAATGCCAGGTGTTCTGCTCTTTCCAAGGTCGCTCCCCGGGCTCTCTTTCGGATGCCTTCCTAATACAGTGGAAGCCTCACCTGTGCTATGCCTTTCCTCCATTCCCGCTAGTCCACAGGGTCCTGCTCAAGCTCTGCAGGGACAGAGCCCAGCTGATTTTGATCTCCCCGGCATGGCCCAGGCAGCACTGGTATGCTACTCTCCTTGAGCTGTCAGTGGACACTCCGATTCCACTCCCGCTGTGGCCAGACCTGATCACTCAAGATCACGGACGGCTCCGTCATCTCGACCTGCAATCTCTCCACCTCAGTGTGGATGCATGGCTAAATCAATCTGAGCTGTGCTGCTCTCATTTGGTTCAGCAGGTACTTTTGGGTAGCAGAAAACCCTCTACCAGATCCACATACTTAGCCAAGTGGAAATGTTTTTCCTGCTGGTGCACTCGGAATCATAAGACCCCCCCCACGGGCGTCCGTTCCTGTCATCTTAGACTACCTCTTGTCCTTAAAACAGCAGAGCTTGGCGATATCATCCATCAGAGTGCACCTGGCAGCTATTTCAGCGTTCCACCCGGGTGAGGACGGGCGTTCTATTTTCTCCAATCCCATGGTCACTGGATTTCTCAGGGGATTGGAGCGCCTGTTCCCACAAATTAGACAGCCAGCCCCTACATGGGATCTTAACCTGGTCCTCTCCAGGCTCATGGGTGCTCCCTTTGAGCCCATGGCGACCTGCTCGCTCCTTTACCTTTCCTGAAAGGCGTCCTTCCTTGTAGCTATAACCTCGGCGAGATGTGTATCGGAGCTTAGAGCTCTCACATCGGAACCACCGTATACGGTGTTTCATAAGGACATGGTACAGCTGCGACCACACCCCACCTTCCTTCCTAAGGTGGTGTCTACTTTCCATGTCAACCAAGACATCTTCCTTCCAGTCTTTTATCCGAAGCTGCACACTTCTCGACTAGAGCAACAGCTGCACTCCCTAGACGTTCGCAGGGCCCTCACCTCTTACATCGAGCGAACGAAACTTTTTAGAAAGACGACCCAGCTGTTCGTAGCTGTGGCAGACTGGATGAAGGGTCTCCTGGTCTCCACCCAGCGCATCTTGTCCTGGATTACATCATGTATCCGTGCATGCTATGACTTAGCTCGTGTCCCAGCTACACACCTGACCGCCCACTCCACTCGGGATCAATCTTCGTCCTCCGCCTTCCTGGCTCATGTTCCCATACAGGAGATCTGTAGGGCAGTGACTTGGTCATCTGTGCATACCTTTACTTCCCACTATGCTATAGTGCAGCAGTCCAGGGATGATGCAGCATTTGGTTCAGCGGTCCTTCGCTCCGCGACATGGCACTTCGACCCCACCGCCTAGGTAAGGCTTGGGAGTCACCTAATTGGAATCAATATGAGCAAGCACTCGAAGAAGAAAAGATGGTTACTCACCTTTGTAACTGTTGTTCTTCGAGATGTGTTGCTCATATCCATTCCAAACCCGCCCTCTTTCCCCTCTGTCGGAGTAGCCGGCAAGAAGGAACTGAGGGGGCGCTGGGTCGGCAGGGGCATAGATCCGGCGCCATAAGCACGCCACTCCAGGGGGCGCCTCAGTCGACCCACCGAGTGTTGCTAGGGTAAAAATCTTCCGACGATCGTGCACGTGGCGCGCACACACCTAATTGGAATGGATATGAGCAACACATCTCGAAGAACAACAGTTACAAAGGTGAGTAACCGTCTTAGTTAGCAAAATAATTACATAGTTCCCAATAATTACAGAATACAGAGACTGTGCTGAAAATTTGGGACTGATACACTGTGCATTTGCTATAAAACAGGTTGAACTCCCACGTCAAATACAAAACGGAATGCATCCTTAACAATGGCATCACAGTGGCACAGCCATAATTATGAAATATAAAATAAGGCTACTAGAACCTAGGTATCCAAACCAACATGTTTTGCCCTCCAATTCATTTTGATAACCTCATACATGTAAACCAATGGCTAAGTGAACATCCTCAGCAAAGAGAATGTTAAGGAGTATATAATTATAAGCACAAACAGGCAGCATGAAGAGATGAAAGGCTACTGCTTGCTAAAAAACACTTGCCGGATGGTTAACAGTTAGGTCCAGAATATTTGTAGTGGAAGTTAAGGTTTTACAAACCTGTAATATTAAGTACAAGAGTGTTTTGATTTTTATTTGAAATGTCAACGAAAACAGGTTTTTGTTTTATTTAAATATTCCTCTATAAAGTGCACAGGCCAGACATGGATGCACTGAGCTAGTTCACGAAAACTCAGAAGTGACTGAGTCTATTTTCATTAACTAAACTGAGAGAAACACAAAAAATAAGACCGCATAAATGCTGAAAAATAAATGTGATTTTTAAACTCTTCCAGTTGTATTAGTCTCAGGTGGTGGTAATAATATACAGTAAATACCTGAGCAATGATTTAGTATCTGTATCTCATTGCACTACTTTAGTTTCTTTGTTTTATATGTAGAATCATAGAATATCAGGGTTGGAAGGGACCTCAGGAGGTCATCTAGTCCAACCCCCTGCTCAAAGCAGGACCAAGTCCCAACTAAATCATCCCAGCCAGGGCTTTGTCAAGCCTGACCTTAAAAACCTCTAAGGAAGGAGATTCCACCACCTCCCTAGGAAAGGAAAACTGTAATTTATATATGTAACTACGGCATGTATAAAAAATGCTACATCTAGTTTTAAGAGCTATAATATACTATCTAATGTATTATTTAATATGATTACTAAAGACATACAAATTCACTGTCTTCCTTGTATGCTGTGGTTTTACTGATGGGTCCAGAATCCTGCATTCTAGTGCTAACCCAAAAGGGCAAAACCAAAGCCAGGGATTGATACAATGTGGAGATATCCCATCTATATACCCCTTACAGTAGTAGCAGGGAGGAGTAGTGGGGTAAGAGACTCTACACACCAGAGGATCAGTTTCGTTATGGTGACTGTTTCAGGGCTGTATATGCTCTCAGTACAGCCAGAATTAATCAGCAGCATGGTTCAAAGCACGTGCAATGGAGTACCTGGCCAAATGAATTTAAATGACTTCCCCAAGGCTGCATAATGAATCGTTTGCAGACATTACATTAAAAATCAATGGTTCCTGGCTTTTGGTCTAATGTTTCAAACATGCTGTTTCTCATTAATATGCCAGTTTGAAAATGTATCATATGCATAATGTGTATATCACATGATCCGTTCCTTTCATACCTGTTTTAAGATTTTTCTTCACACTGATGACTGACCATTTGAAAAGAGTAAAATAAATAACACTTAGCATTTTTGTAATGAGAATGCAACATAAGCATGTGTTCTCTAGCTGCTGTGGTAATATAGATGTCCCTAAATTGTCTTCATGAAGAGTTTTGTTATTAATTTGTCCCAGTACAGTTGTTCTAATTTCTAGTTATCCTGTTGTTTCTAAAGCTGTTTTAGTTTTCATTTTAATATTTGTATGCGTTCATCATTGCAGCTAACTATTTGAGAATTACTCCTAGTTATGAAATTTAAGGTACTTCAGTGTAAAAGATTATAGCCAAAATTTTCAAACATGTAAATGCATGGTCCCTGTGAAAATCAAGCCAGCTTGATGTAGGAGGTGAGCTTGCAGCACCCATGTTTGAAAATGCTGGCCTATCTTTTTGAGGACAGTAATTTATCATGTGTAATTAAAATAAATGTTTTGATTCTGTTTAGCTTCAGGTGCATCTAGAAGACCTTGGGTGCTAGGAAAAGTAATGGAAAAGGAATATTGCCAGGCAAAAAAGGTACGGGAATACTACTGATAAATATGTAATTATTAAAATCAGTATACAAGGAAAATGGGTCCAGATTTTGCTACTCTTAACCATGTTCAGTACTATCTTCTCCTCAAGTAGCACCACTGAAAAGTATGAGACTGCTTGTGTACTAAGTTCTACTCAGCTTGAGTAAATATGGCAGAATCTACCCAGTAGTTATTACTGGTGATTGGAAATATTCACACTGATGTATTCTGAGTTGAGGGTGTTTATGCTTGCCTTGATGAATTAATTGGAAATGTCCTGTGCACATCAAAAGATGAATTTGGGGAAGTAGTTTATTTGTAATTTTGCCATCCTACCTGGTACACAGCCATTGCTTTGTATGAGCTATTTTGGAGAGACTGCGTAAATCAGGATGAAAATGCTCATTTTTAAAAGGCTTTGACCTCTGAGCTATCGCTGCATCACAGGGCCAGAGGACTAACCCCTGGAGCAGCCTAGAGCAGTCAATAGTGCTACTAGCCAATTGGCACATCTCCCTATTAATGGTAAGCGATCACTGGCTGGTCTCAGCTGTCAGTTCAGACAAATAGGGTTTTCTAGACAGTCTAGTCAGGTTTAAAAGTGCTGGTGGTGCAAATAACTTCCTGCTCTGAAAAATCTTAGTGAAAGCAGAATAAAATAGAACATTTTTGGTATGTAGTTTGAAATAATTTTATTTGTTTTTTTCCTTAGGCACAAAACAGATTTAAAGTTCCTTTAGGTACAAAATTCTACAGAGTGAAAGCAGTGCCGTGGAACAAAAAAGTATAACACAGTGGGAACTCTGTTCAATCTGTCTCATTCTTTTCTGGATTGTCCTTCAGTGCTCATTCATCGCTCCAAGTAGCAGGCCATCTTTTTATACGGAGGTCATGTGACAATATGCTTCACAGATATACTACTTTTAATTTTTAATGGGTTACATTTTAGAAACAAGAATTTCATTAAAATCCCTGGCCCTATAATTGTTCCAATTTTTTTACCCAGATAACTTTAGGAGTGTGGACCAAAGGAGTTCATTTTCTCAAAGGGCAAACCTTGTGCATCATGGCTTATTATTAGCCATGTTAATTGCCTGTTAAATATACATTAGCTTGTATTTAGATGTTAAATGTTAGTTACCATTATTACCAGCATATGTCCTTTTGTGAAATCATTTAAGTACTTGCACTCTTTAACAGATTCTTTATAATATGTATAAATTCATCAACTATTTAAAGAGGAGTGTTCATTGCATGCCAATAATCATAATTTTTCTTCAACATGAGTTTGCCTCAGTAGATGAATAAAGCTAACTACTGCATCATCTTTCATTACATTAAAATGCCCTTTAATGTTTAAAAAACCAACCTTGTAATTTGATGGGCTGATCCGAAAATCAGTCACAGGTAAATCTGCAATCTTCAAAAGCACTTTTGATGGATTGATCACATAGATTCTGAAGGGAAGAATCCCTGTGCTGTTAGATTTAAAGTGAAGCACTTGAACCTTCCCAGCAACACAGAAGTCTTGTATTAATCTATTTAGAAAAATCATATTGATGAAAATTGTATTTCATGGTTGAGTTTCAGGAAAAAACTCATTGTACATTAACCATACAAGAGTCATTTAAGTAACAAATTATTGTAATTGTAAAAGACATGTAGACTTTTAAAACAATAAAGATTTGAACCTGAAAATGTCTGAATGGTGTGTGCCTTTTTAAATGTCCCCTTTATATAATACTATTCTGTAATTTTCAGTGTATAGATGGGGCTCTTCTTGTAACAACAAATAGGATTTAATTAAATGGCAATCCATATTTTGTCAGCAAATCCGATGAGCAGACATATTATTCAAATGAATTACTGTGGTCAAGGAAGATAATTTGTATACTGTTCTAACTAAACTGTAATGAACAAATGACACTTTGTTTTCTAAAGGTAATTTCTTCTTAATATTTTGTGGTTCCAAAACATTCGCTTTTGTGAACACTGGGGAATTTAGGGTCTGGATTTAGTAAGTAAGTGGGGGTTGGGGTTTGCCCCTTAGAGTTCAGCCTGGGGTTTCTACACAGGGCTGTAGGTAAGAAAAGAAACACCCACAAAGCTCAGAGACTCTGTCAACATAATCACAGACATTTTTCAATCCATCTGATCCACGTTACTTTTAATAAGCTCCTGGACATGTTTTTTATTTATCTAAAATGTTCTGATATCAAACTCCAATTGAGTATTAGATGTAGGTTTTTTAATCACAGCCTTGAAGACTTTTGAAGGGCCTGCATAGAAATCTAGTTTGCTTCTCATCTTCCATCTGCCAAACTGCAATAAATACCAGTGAGTAAATTAAAACTGTGACAGCTTCAAGGCACACTTTTTGCTGGATGTCAAATTTGTGTTACTTATGTACTGTATATACTAATCCAGCTGATGAGTTAGATGACTTCTGAGTGGAAACATAGTTTCTTCTTCAGCAAAAGTATTTCAATAGTTTTGAATACTTGCAAAAGTGAGATAGGTGTTGATTGCCAGTTAAATGGGTGATGTTTCTTTTTGAGTTTCTAAAATGGTACTTTTCTATTGACCAATGACTCTTTTGCCTACAAATTAGTAGGATTCCAGGTCTGAAAGATTTACCCAATAGCATTTTTAGTCAGCTTAGTTAATTGGGTCACACATGGAGTTGGCACATACCTGAATACCACAATTCTTCCTTTTAGCATATGGAGTGTTAAAAAGGCCTGGCACCTACTAGTCTTTTTTCTAAACTTATGCCATGTTTTAATAGCTTAACCATTACTTCTGCATGCCTGTTTATACAGTTATCACTTTAAATGAAATTAAGAAGCCCTGAAATGTCATTCCTTCCGAGGACATGCTCAATTGAGACTGTGACAATGACTTGGTGTGCAACAGAATGTACTAAAAAGAGCATGAAATGGATTTTCTTAATACTATTTAGCTGCTTGTGAATGCTTTTGTAACTATACATATTGGTGACTTTTTTTCTCTGAATGTCACTGTAATTGGCAGTGAAAGTTGCTAGATTTGTCACTGGTCACTTTGACACTTATTTTCTCGGTAGGGAAACCATAAAGTCACTAAATCTAGTGACAAAGTAAGTTGGCAACACTCTTATCTGCAAGCTCACTGGGCATGGAACCTGAGCAAGGTTCAATTTCCACAGAGCTTTTGCATTTCTGGGAGGGAAAGGGCCCCCAACAGCAGCAGGCCTGGAGCTGCTCTAGTAGTCTCTTCCAAATGTGGAATCCGATTCCTCCACCTCCATTGCTTTATAATCCAGGTGGAATGCAGACAAGTAAAAGTTCCCCCAGTGATTCTTCTGGAAGGGGAAGGAACTCTGACTGGGGAGCTCTTTCAGGGAAAGGACAGGACCACCAAGTGACTCCCAGCCCCTGAGACACAGGCACACTAACAGTTTTGAAACAAAGCTCTCATTGACTCAAAAACACCTTCTTTCCAGGCTAATGGGTGGTGTAAGGGGTAGCACGGCCCATAGGGTGACCAGGACAGTCCCTGTATTTGGGGCTGAAGGGTTAAAATCCATGTGCATGTTATATAACAACC